TTGGTTCCATATTGCAGAACTCCACTACTGCCATGGTTAGCTGGATGTGACTGACTGTTGCTTGTGGGCCAGCTTCCTTCCATGCCTTGTCCAAAAAAACCTGCAGTGGAATGTATAATGTGAAATGTATGTGTAAGACACCAACAGGATTCTTGCACAGATCTCCCTGCTTATCAGAAAGACTGTGGGCCTTTGCAGACTGCCAGAACTAATGCAGCTTGAGGCCACTTTAACTATACTGGCTCAGTACTAGGGAATCATGGGAATTGTATTTTTTTTTCTGGGACATTGAGCCTTCTCTGTCAAAGAGTTCTGGTGCCACAATAAACTACAGTTCCCATGATTTCTTAGCACTGAGCCAGGACAGTTAATGTGGCCTTAAGCTGCATTATTTCTGTCAGTCTGTAAAGGCCCTGTATCTTTCTCCATGAGGCAGCCCAATTCTTTAGATACTCAGGGACAGACCATTTGTAGAGGACAGCTCTGGCATTTAGTGAATAACTGACTGTGCAGAAGGATATTCTAATAGGGGACGAGTCTGAATTTTTCTGTGCATAATTATGTTGTGGAAATGATTTTATATTTTAATTTATAGGTGATTTAACCCATTATCTATCCTCAAGGTTTTTAGTTTTAGTTTGTTTAAACCTTGGTACAAAACATACTGCAGAAATAATCCAATTCCAGACTACTGTAACTGCCCTGGCTCAGTGCTAGGGAATCATGGCAATTATAGTTTAATGTGGTATCTATCTATACCAGGGGTAGGCAACCTTTCTGAGACCTGGGCCAGTCTCCCATAGCCCAGGTCTCAGCTGGGCTGAGGGGGGGGGATGGCGGCATGTGCGCGCACCTTCCTCCACCGTGTGTGACCCCCCCGTGCACACTGCCGCCACAGTGCACGTGGCCGCAGCCACAGCGGCGCATGTTGCGGCCGCCATTTTGGAAATCAAAATGGCGACCGTGATGTGTTTGCGCATGCTCAAGAGTACTGCGCATGTGCAAATGTGCCGCGACCACCATTTTGATTTCTAAAATGGCGGTAGCGGTGAGCGCGGCCGCAGAGCGGCAAAAACACGCTGCGACGGCTGAGTGTGGTGGCAGCGGTGGCGCGTGGCGGCGGTGGCAACCTTCGGCTTGGGCCAGTAAGTCGAGGGACTGGGGCCTAAACCCGCCCCTGGGCCGTAGGTTGCCGGTCCCTGATCTATACAGTCGGCCCTCCATTTTTGCGGGGGATCCATTCCAGACCCCCTGCTAAAATGGAGATTCACCAATATTCAAGCCCCATAGCCTTGAATGGGGTGCACCTCTGCATGCCCCATTGATTTTAGCGGGGTCACCCCTCCATGAATATGCAAAATCATGGACTTCAAGTCTGCAAGAACGGAGGGGCAACTGTATACCTATCAATCATCAATCTATGACTTGTGGGCCATGACTGGCTCATTGGTGATATTCATAAGCTATTCCAGCAGCCTTTCTAGATAAAAAGTAGGGTAAAATGTGCTAAGAACAAGCATGATACAGTGGTTTGCCTCTGACATCTAGCAACACTAACCTACGGTTTCCTTGGCAAGAGTTATTCAGAGGAGGGTTGCCATTACTTTCCTATTAAGATGAGAGAATGCGACTTGCCCAAGATTATCCAGTGGGCTTTTGTGGTTTTTTTCAGGCTGTGAGGCCATGTTCTAGAAGAATG